TGTAAAATGCTGTTGCCCTTGAATATGAAGAAGTTGGCCAGGTGGATCATAGACTGATAAGATAATCCAAGCTATTCTGGAGCAAGAGAAAGTAATTTTGTTGGTAAGACTGGGAGATGTAAGGATGGGTAACACAGAATAAGAAAATATGAAAAACAGATGACTATTGAAAAGATTTGATAGCTTTCTTTGTTATGTCTTGATCCACACTCTAAGTCCTGGTATTAGCTTGGTGTCTATTTTATATCATGTTTTACATAATCGATCAATTTCTGTAAGGTTCGATTAATCTAGACTAAGATTGGCTACATTTGCTGCTACAACTTGCGATTTAATGGGAGGGTACCTGTCTAGTGTCTTAAATTGGTTGCGATTAGACAGGATCAACCAATCCAAGGATTAAAATCTCAAACCGATGCCAATCTTTTGGAGGTCAGACTGATACAGTATCTTTATGGACCGACGTACTGACATTCAATATGGATTAGTACTGCCTGGACCAAAGAGAAAGGGAGAGAAGAGGGGAGGCGGGGGGAGGAGGAGGAGTACGCAGAGGAGGTGGCAACCACACATCAGGGGGAATGAGGGGACAAAGAGTTGAAAAACAAAAGACAGAGAAGAAGAAAAAGTTAAATTAAAGAAAAATAAAAACAAAACAGCTGTTATAAGTTTTTTAAAAAAGATAATCAATACTACATGGTAGGCTTACCGCTTTATTTTCTTCATACTAGTTTGCTTACAGCTTGGTAAACCAAATATCATAAGCTCACTGCATAATACAGTCCATATCGGATCAAACTAGGTAAATTTTCCAGGTTTACCTCTCAATTGGCTGTAGGACCAGTAAATATCGGTCGATACCAACCAGTATACATATTGTATTTTAGTCCTTGAGTCAACCTACTTGAATCAGCTTAGATCAATTAATCATAGATAAATTGACTAATTCCAAGTTGATATTAGGAATTCCCATCAAATAACAACTAGTTCCATTTGCTCTTCACAATCCCATTAGAGCCAGGCATAGATCCTCATTCAACTATTAAGAAGAAGAAGAGCAAGAGGAAAAAGAAGAAGAATAACAAGAAAAAGAACATGTGGGAATATGCACATACTTTGGTGCTTATTTTAGTATTATCTACTGAATTATATTATACATAAAACATGTTTAATCGACTTTCGAACACTATTTAATCCATAATATTTTATTTAATAGATCTCCATACTTTCGTTTTCTTAAATGTGGGACATGGATTCTAGATTCTAGCACAGGCTCCAAAACAGCAAAACCAATTCATAAGACTCTTAAACCTAATCATTTTCTCTAGAACTCTGTTATACGATACTAATTTCATCAATTTAACACAGACAACATTAGTTTAGTGTGGTGTACCTTCCTCACTTACTCTAGGTTGATGGTTCGAACTCTCATACTACAAATTGTAGCATTCACAAGTTTCTAGATATCTCAGTTGGTAAGGACTTGGTAAGATTATTGCAAGGTCCTAGTATCAAAACCCATCTTCAACACTTACCTTTGCCAAAAAAAATTAAAATCTGTCAATTTGCAGCTATGCTACTGCTTTTCTTTAGCAATCCATGCATTATCTAGGTTTGTTATGAAGGAATCATAAGTAACATGCAATTTGAGAAGCATATATTGCAATTTCTCATTGAAGTAAATTTCTGCTACGTCTGGCCCCTGTTACTGCTCTGATTAATATTTTTTGACATATATTAATATTAAATTGGAAATCTACTGAATTAGAAGGCTCAATGTTTGAACAACATTATAAACTTGATTGATCTGAGTTATAGATTCTTTCATTTGTTGTTCGTCCTGCTTCAGTTCAACTTATTACCAAAGAATAAATTAACAGTAACCCTCTAGGATGTTTTAAAATAGCCATCCAAATAACTATACTTATCAGGCGCTTATATTCCTGCAAATCATGTCTAGTTTACGGTCTTTCCATGTTGCGTAACATATTAATTAGTCTCCTTGGTCCCCGGGTCCACTCTTCAAAGGTCTGCAATAGCTTTAGCAAGTCATCGTCTTTGGTCCTGCATTATGTGTCTTCAGGGTGAGACATATGCAAGCTGTAGGTATAGCCTCATTTGCAAGTTAAATGATGGATACTGGTTAAGAAATTTACAAATGCCAAGTTAGATCTAATATGCATGTGTATATGCCACATCTTTGACGTTCCAACTTGTCAAGAATAATGACGCATTATTTATGAAAGTAATATATATATAAGGAAAATATAATGCTGAACCAAAAAGATTATACAAGTATCTAAACTGAAACAGACAAAAGAAAGAATGAGAAAAATTGAATTAACTACCTTTGTCCAAGCAATCCCACATGCATTACAAAGAGTCCTTGGTCCCTCGGGCCCACGGCGCATATGTGGTGTTGCATTTGCACTAATGCCACACCGAAGGCATCTGAGCAAGTTCAATAGACAATTAAGTGATCACACAAGATATGGACATAAAGGCAGAAAGCATTCATGTAGAAGATTGTACATTTCTTCTACAAACATGTACAGATTCAGATGCTAGATCTTACTGTTCCTTTGGATGCAATCATGTGCATCTTCATATAAGAGAATATAGCTCATACTGTTATCATGATAACTGAGGAGACGAAAAGATAAACATGCATGAAAATTTGCAACATCATAGTTTGTTCTGCCAACTGCTGTTTTCTTGCAGAGAACCAAGTTATACAGAAGCAATATAAAAGTGAACAGAGATATAATAGATACAATAGTGAAAGTATCAGATGGCTGTCACACAGCTAGTCACACTACAATATTGCCAGACACACATCATCTAGCACCACTTGCTTTATTGTCAGGTTTCTTTGTCTTGCAATAACTGCTAGCCTAGAAATCTTTGTGTCCTAGTAGGTTTCTCTCACCGGAATGTATCCTAGCCAAGAACTTAAATATTTCAGGCCAGTTGCAACTCATACAATCCTTTCAAAATCTGCTGGATGATACCTTGATCCAGTGAATCAATTCTTACAGATGAAAAGAAAGATAATTCTTTCTTATCACAACCATATAATGAACATCTAAGAAACACCTATACCGGGTACATCTAATAAGACGCTCGTAAGATTTTTATTGGATATGTGTCGGATTCAAAATACAACAATGGTAATCAGTCAGTCAACAAAAGAATCTTCTTCAAGAGTTTGAGTGACGGGAACCAATAAAATGTCGTCTACTCCTAGGAAATGTTTGGAACAGACAACTTTGTTTGACACTTTGTCAGCTGTTGTAGTGCCCAAAAGGAACAAACATCACTCTTAAGCATCCATTTTTTTATAATTATTAAAAGGACAGGATAGTTTCAGAAATACTTAACAATACTTAGCGTACAATTCTTGGTAGAATTTTAATTCACTTAGATGTTGATCGTTTATATCTTTTGTATTAAACATTAATCTGAAAATAAACTGATGATCTTACTGCAGCAACAAAAACAATTGATATCTTATGATCGTATCTATATTGTTGAAGTAATTATTATGAGAGAAGTTTCCTTCATGATGAATAGCTTCAGCTTGCTACTTAAACCTGTTATTATTCATTGACACACCAGATATGTTGCATTGCGTCCTATTTTTTCAAGATTTTGCACATCATGTATAGATTTCGTCGACATAAATTTAGCAAAAACAATTACCCATGCAGTTCAAGAATATTTTACTTAGCCTCCGTCTTAGTTACCATGAAACTAGTAAACACCTCTATATAAATTAAACTAAAAGTCAATGCAGATCTCCAAGAATAAGGGCGAAAAAAAAAGGAAAAGAAACAAGAACTGTATTCAACAAATCCGGCAAACATGTACAACAACTGGATTACGAGACAAGTTTCCTTGCAAGATCAACAGTCATTAACTGGGTCCATCTACCAGGTTCAAAATCTTGAACAACTTTATTTTTCTACTATTTCATCAAGAATAAAAAATAAAAAGAAGCTCCGAAAGGCCAGATATTTTACGCACCTGGGAGGACCCTCGGAACCATCGTTGCCGGTACCGTCGTGTACGACAAGATCCTGCTCTTGCTCGAACTGCATCTGCAGACCGTCGCCTCCGCTCCACTCGCCACCGTGTTAGGGGTTCACCAGTGCGCCCGACTCATCTCACTCCTCCCTCATACAAGCCATTTCTACGTAAGAAAATGGGGCAAATAAAGATCCTTTTACCTACAAGAAATTGGGGAAAAACGTCGCACGACAAAATTTCTACAGAGAATCGAACTCGCAAGCCCTAACCGAATCTTCATACGACGTAAAACGCTTCGATCCGTCGAAATTAGGGTTTCTTTTTTGGTGCAAAAACCCTGAGGAGGCGGAAGAGGCGGAGGGGGTCGAAATGGATCAGCTGAGAAGCGTCGGTTAGCGAGACGCCAAACCCACAGCGATGAGATGCCTCGGCGGCTGACACGCGGCACGGCACACTTAATAAAGCACTCTGTCGAGTTAGTTATCGACACCTGTCCATTGCCAAATATTGCTATGTATTTAATTTATTAGAAAATTAAAATCTCGATCAGTTCCCTCCAAGAAAGGGCACTCCCATTGCAAGATATTTATATACCATTATGAGAATTAACTATGTCCGTGGCATAGTCTGACTCGAACACCATTGGTCGTGTCTTTGGACCCAAGTCCGCGTCATAACGCGGCGCTGCTGCCCCTCCCACAAATAAGTTTACGACACTCATCACGTGTAAACCCAAAGTGGATCTTGATCGAAGTAACACGTGGCACTAATCAGGACGTTTAGGAATAGTGGGTTTCGGTTTGGGTGTGGAGAGAAGATATTAAAGATGGGCACGTAATCGCGCACGTTGCGAACTTTCTTTCGCACACGTTGCCGCGGCATTGCTCGTGTCTTGGTTCGGACCACGCCCGCCTCGCGAGTCCACGCGGTCCACCTCAGCGATTGCCAGGCCCTCAGCGTCTGTAGCTTAAATGCCGCACCCCGCTCTTCCCGTCCCGTCCTCAGTGTGTCGGATTGGAGCAAAAGCAAGAGACCGGGAAGACAGGAGGCGGCCACGTGTCAGCACCCCACCAACTATGAAGCCGGAGGGGGGGAAGGCGGCGGCGGGGGAGAGCGAGCGGGGCGGCGAGGTTAGGTACCTGGGGGTGCGGAAGCGGCGGTGGGGGAAGTGGGTGTCGGAGATCCGCCTGCCGCGGAGCCGGGAAAGGATCTGGCTGGGGTCGTACGACGCCCCCGAGAAGGCGGCCCGGGCGTTCGACGCCGCCGCCTTCTTCCTCCGCGGCGACGCCGCCCGCGTCAACTTCCCCGACCAGCTACCCAGGGACGGCCCCGCCGGGGGGGCGCTCTCCCACGACCAGATCCAGGCCGCGGCCGCCCGCCACGCCAACGGGACTCCGCCGGCGGCCTCGGCGTCGGGGGCTTCGGACGGTATCGTGACGGACGAGAACCAGGAGCTCGACGAGTCGTTCGTCAGGTTCATGGCGATGGACGACAATGCGGACTTCCCGTTGCTCTACGAGGACTTATTGTACGGGGTTTTCCCTGCGGCCGGAGCGCCGATGCCGCCTCAGGACGGTACCGCCGGCATCAACGAACACGATGGGAATGAGGTTTTTGATGAATTCCCTGCGCTTTGGAGCTTCTGAGGAGGAGGAGGAAGAAGAAGAAGACAGTCCGAGGAATTAACAATTTGACTTCATTACTTTTCTTTTTCTGCATGCCTTCAGCTGGGAATTATTGGACCAGCTTGGCAGCAGTGGATTTCACACGCGCACACACACTTTTCTCACTCGGCTCTCTCTGTCTCTCTTTTTTTTTTGGGAAGTAAATCCATGTCGCAATGGTTTCCTATTGTAAGGGGGCAGTGAAGCTGAGTCGTCGTTTCCGTAATAAAAGAGGGAAAAGGTTCAGCTACAATAAAAATGTCTGAAGCAAGTGAGAGTCACGTGTCCAGATAGACCCAAGAACACCTTTTCCTTCTCACACACACCATCACGCCGTCAGTGTAAGAATGGGAGGAAGATTCATCAATTATTAGCTTTGGGTGCAAGCTTTCCTTTTGGCTTGTCGTTCTCCTCCTATATATTTGAATCGTTTTCTTACGTTACCATTCCTGGTTTGCAGTGTACGCACGTGCTCACTCGTGCTGTTATCTTCCTGTAGCTGATGTAAAACTTGGTGACTCGCAGGCATCCTTCGAAGTATCCAAATATATTCTTGGCAACGCCATCATTGGTTTCATGCTGTGTAACTGTAACTCCACAGATTCGATTGCAGAATTTTGTGTACTTGAAAGTGTTGACTGTGCCGCCTTATAAGACTTGGCTTCACTGAATCATGATGCATATCCTAACCCACAGCAAAATGGGGTTTTCGGGAGGAAGAAAAGGGGATAAGTAGCACGATCAAGTAACATCGCTGCACAAGAGATGAATAAAATGGCTGCCATCCATCCGAAAGCAAGCCTTCATTGACTCTCGCGTGCGAGTGATGTAGATATGGAACTGACATGGACTTTATCCCATACCGGATTGGATCGTAGTGTAAAGTTCAAAGGTAGCTCGTCAATGAGCTTTTTCCAAAATGTCTTGATCAAATGTACCAAAATGCAGATATCAGATTGGATTCCGATTGAATAGATATCACACATACAAACTCGTGTGCTTGACTTCATAAACATCAATATTAATTCTGATGATTTACAGTAATTATTTAGATATGCTTGGTGTTCACAGATGCAATTCACATTGCAATAGGTCATGGCCCAGACATTGTGCTACAAATAGTGCACATCAGAAAGAATATAGAGGGTTGACAACAGAGACATTTTTTATATGGCATATAGTTATGGCTACACCATGCAGCAAGTAACCATAGTAAAGAAGAAGAAAATACATGGAAGGTTCGCCGGACAATTTTATCGACCCACTCCACATGTCCACAAAATATGCTAACAATGATAACACAAGTAGGGGGGACAGATATGCTGATTTGAAAAGATGTACAAGATAAGGAAAATACATATTCACTTAGTCCTTTGGTAGTAAATGAGCTGCTTTGAAGCACTAGCATTTTGGATTCGTCATCGTGGATGGCCTGGCTGGCCCTCACAATCATCCCCGTGGAAGCTTGGCTTAGGGCTTGTTGACCTTGAGCATGCATCAATCTCTGGCTTGTTTCAATCTTGCTCGATGACAGTGACACGGTGATTGATGGAGATATTGGTTGACGATAGACCACGAAATACGGCAGCAGCAACAGCGGTGGTGGTGCCAGTGGTGCCAGCGGGTAGAGGAAGCATCCTGAAGGCAGACCCAAGGGAAGTTGTTTTGCTACCCGAAGAACAGTGAAAACATAAAACAATAAGAACACTAATCCAATACAAAGACAAGAAAACAATTTAATTAGAATTGATGATGTTTCCTTCAACAGATCTCATTAGCAAAACCATTGGCATGCCAACATGATGATATCTATGATTATTACGAATTAGTTATAACACCAAGCCACAGTTGAAAAGGTTATGTTGATTGATCGTCAATGAGTTATGTGTGACGACACAATCTGTTATCCGATAAGATTCATCGGGGTTAAGTGTGACACTATATGTGAGACTATCGGGTCACATTGTGGTCATAGTCAATACATAAGATTGATTTTTGAAAGTGTTATATACTTCTAGTACTATGCTATCTAATAAATTGTGATATCTGCAACCCTATTAGACAAATACATGGTATTTTAATCATCTGATATGCTTGATATTCTGATTAATACACTCATCAATTTAATCATCTGATTTTGGTAAGTGTGATACTATATTTATAAACATATTATGGTTAATTTTTCTAGTATAAAAATATTAAACATTTAAAAAACAATATTTATAAGGAGAATACTATTATAAATTAGAAAGAACAAACAATCACAAGAAAAGCCTTAAATGCTAACATCAACCTCAATATAGCTGTAAATAAGCATATACATACCCAAATAACAAAAATAAAAAGGGGAGAATATCCAGGAAGCTAAAGACCACTTAATCATCTGATAATGTGCTATTAACACACGAAGAATTAAAAACTTCTTAATAACTTTCACCTAAATGATTTTATTAGAATTTAGCTGATACATGAAATAAGCCATCCAAAACAACATGTAGTGTAATGACAACTAAAAGATCTGAAATGTTGAATCGTAGAAACCACAACTATCATTTATCTAAGCACGCTATTAGAAGTAAACAAAATCTCCAGTAATGGTAGGAAGAACGAGAAAAGGACAATAAAATGCTTGCAAAAACAAAGGAAGAAAAAGAAAGATCAAGCTGCCGGGTAGCAAACACAAACAAAGAACCAAAAGCAAGAGAACAAACGGTACTTCGCTAAAAAAAATGCATTTTTTTGGTATACCGCAGATAAGTCCAGGACAAGCAAGAGAACACAAATTCATCAGCACCAACAAACACCCAGGAAAACTACATTCGAAAACTCCACAATTCTAAGAACACAACCATCCAAAAGGGAAATTCCGAGCGAGACAAATGTTTCAGAAGGGCGATACGAACCAAACCTGAGAAGTGACCAACAGACCGGGGCAGGGCTAAATCGACTGCTGCTGATGCACGATGCATGGTTCCTCGCCCTAGTGTTCTTCCGACGATCTGCGAATTGATCGGATCGAAGGAGCCCAGCTTTAGGGCTTTAGGAAGAGGGGGCAAAAACAGAGGGAATTGGGCCGTGAACAGCGAAAGAGAGTATTAAGCCGCGCTGGTCCTCAATGCATGGGGTTATTGTTGACATTCTCTATCTAATTGTGAACTCGCAATTGTTGGGCAGCTAAGTTATTCAGCACATTCGTAAAAATATATCAAATGAAATTTTAATTCTTAATTTTTTTTATTAATAGATCTATCGCATTACCATCAATCTAATATTTTAGATGTTATTTGATGATGCTTATGAATCACTTTTTAAATGTTACATCACTAAATATTTTAATCAATAACCTCTGTTCATCCGTAAAGCCTTAGTAAATAAATCAATAACCAATACTACTAAATTCAATTTTTTAATTAACATTAGTTGTTTCACAATCTTGCCATCGATGTCACTAGTATAGTGCATTCCTTTTCAACGACCACATTCGCGAGTGTTACGATACTATTATTTGCCACCATCATAGCTTTCAATTGTTACCATCAATCTCGCCTGTGGGATAAGCACGTAGTCGAGTTCCATCGCTATGGCCTTACATCCATTAGTTGTTGTTGTGCTCTCGCCAATAGTAGCAATCGTCTTAATAGGGTTGTTGCCTCCTCTGTCACTATGAGTTAGCACCATCGTAGCAAGTGCAGTCGTACCCGATACAACAATCATCACATGCCTTGCCACCGTTTAAGGTCGATAACTTTCTATAACCTCCTCCTACAGGCACTCCGTTGTAACAATAATCATTGCCATCTACATAACCACTACACTTGATAGGGTCAATGGCCAAGATAGGTTGTCATCTTATCTGTTCATCATAATTTCATTTTGCAATGCTAAGTGACCACAATATACCACCTACAACAAGTTACTCATGGTAGGGTTACATAATATAATATTATCTCACTTAGCTAATTAATTGATATAATATAAAAAAAAATTAAGATTAGAAATAAAAATAAAATTTAGTTAATCTTCATCATTTTACATGCTAATTCAATCCAAAAACTTAAGTTAATATATTATGTGGGTTAGACTGACTCTCTCCACATTTACCAATATGAGACTATTCTCATAGTCTTTTTTTTTTTTTTATCTCTCATCACAAATGAACATCTTCTAACATTCTTCTTCTATTTGTATGATTTGATTGTCTTTCCTTTACTTATAAAGATAGGTGGTGTAGTCAATTATATCCTCAATTATAACTTGATCAGTGGTGTGACTTTGTTGATTGTTTGGTCTTAATCCTTTTCTTCAATCTCTCCTTAGAAGTCAACATCTTCAAATATAATCTAACAAAAGCTCAACCCACTGTTACTTCTCGGTGTCCCCTCTGAGCTTGCCCGATCTAAACTTGTTGCCGTCCCTCTAATAAGATAATTTCGTGAAATGGAGTTATAGTGTGCATGACAATCTATCATCTATAGATTTGGTTGCAGTTCCTGAGCATTATATCAAGTGCTTATATATACAACCACACCGATGGCTGTTTCTGATCTCAGAGCATCAGCGTAGCAATGTGGAAATGATCAATACAATCCAAACTACTGCATGATTCCGCGTCTTCTCAAGGTTCATGCTCCGTTCTGCTTGTGGTGTTCTGGCGAGGTTCGATGCTGTGGGTTTCCTCCTTCCTTCGCAGCCTTCGGGGACCTGACCTTGTGCCGGTGTCCATGGTGATGATGATGGTGGTGCCCGTTCTTCTTCGCTTCGCTCTTTGTTGATTCTTCTTTGCATCCATCCTCCGCCGGTACTACGTACACGAAGGGGGCGATTGGCATGTCCTTCACGTCCAGGAGAGGCTCCAAGGTCTCGACAATGGCGGACATCTGAGGCCTGGACTTGGGGTGATGGCTCAAGCACTTGTAGGCCACCGCAGCCGCCTTCTGTGCGCCCTGCTCGGAGTACTGCCCGCATAGGCCGGGATCCATGATACGGTTCAGCTTCCTGGGATCGTTGAGACAAGGCCGTGCCCACTCCACGAGGTTCTGCTCCCTGCTCGGCCGTTTCTTGTCCACGGATCGCCGGCCTGTCAGCAGCTCAAGCAGCACAACCCCGAAGCCGTACACGTCGCTCTTCACCGTCAGGTGACCTGAGAAGCACGTAACATGGCGGATCAACCCGAGAACAGAAGGAATCTACTCACAGGAAAGGTCGGATGTGCACAATTACCAGTCAGGATGTACTCCGGTGCAGCATAGCCTTGCGTGCCCATAATCCGAGTGGAGACGTGGGTTTCATCTCCTTCGGGACCATCCTTCGCCAGACCAAAGTCCGAGAGCTTTACTTCGTAATCCTAAGGAATTAGCATTGCATCAGTCAACTCAAGATGAGTGGGGGAAATCGCCATCAGTGAACCAGTGACAAAGAAACATGAGCTACCACCAATAATGAATGATCTTCCTAGAATTTGCATATGAATCAATTCTCTAATGTAGACATACACTTTGCATGCATGTTCTTTTGAGACCTCGCGTTGTAGCCATAGAATCTCAGGGATAAGAATGGTAACAACACAACTATTGATGCATACTATTCCAATGGTTGGTATCCATCTCTGTCACAATTCGTCTGGGATTCTTTGTGTTTTGGAAATGTTCAATCTGAAATGAGACAATCTCAATCATGCAGCTTCATCACCAGGCTGCTCGCGGGAAGTAGTCCACCGAGAGGAGAAAAGGTAATGGTGGCGATGGAGGGGACTTACCGAGTCCAACAAGATGTTTGAGGCCTTGAAGTCTCGATAGATCACCGGCTTCTCGATGTCATGGAGAAAGGCGAGGCCTTTGGCGGCTCCGATCGCGATCTTTAGCCTTGTTGACCATGGTAGAGATGCAAAGTACCCTGCACAAAAGATCAAACTTTTTGGTATCTCCTCCTAGCAAGCAAATTAGGTAGCATTGCATACAGGACATTTTAGTCGTAGCATTCATGATGATGATGACGATGACGATGACGATGACCAAGACAATGTTCAGGAGCTGTTCATTATTTATTAGTGACCTCAAAAAGACTCGTGCAACTTCAACAAGGCCGAAGCTCACGCAGAGAGCAAGAGAGGGTGAGGAGTAGAATTGAAACAAACCAAATGGGTGGAGGATATTTTTCCTTCATGAAAACGAAGGGTGAACGACTGTGATTTTGATGGAGTGGACTTATTGATCACGTAATTGCAGTAGTAATCTATCTTTACGTTTGCGGCAAACAGAACAGCAAGAACAATCTTGAACCGGACGTACTTTTGAAGAGGTGGTTCTCCAAGCTGCCTCGGGTCATGAATTCATACACCAGTAGCCTGTGTTCGTCTTCGCAGCAGTACCCGATCAGCTTCACAAGGTGTGAGTGCCTCAGTTGGCCGAGAAAGACGACTTCGGTCTGCAAGGTGCGAGAAGAATGAGTTGCAGGAAGATGAGAAGCAGTAGCTATCTGCATCGGCGCTCACCAGCCATTCCTTGTGACCCTGCGAGCCCTCCAAGTCCAGGACCTTCACGGCGACCGCCTGGGCCTTCAGCCCCGGCTTCACCTTGTCGTCGACGAACCCCTTGTAGACCGGCCCGAACCCACCCTCCCCTAGGAAGTTGCTCGACGAGAAGCTCTGCGTCGCCGCCTTCAGCTCCGCCAGCGTGAAAACGTGAAGGTTGGAGCCGGCGAGGGATATCGAGAGGTCCTCCGGCGACAGCATGCCCGTGGAGTTGCTGAGGTCGGAGTACGACAGCCGCGGAATGGATATCTGCTTCGCCATGAACTTCTTCGCCTGTTTCGATGCGGCTGTTCGCCCACCTCCATAGCATCCCGGCAGGAGAGACCTCCAAATCTTCGTCATCTTTCAGGAAGGCTCGAGCGTTTACAGATCAATCAATGCAAGCTTAACCGACACTGGTCCAACCTACTCTTTTTCTGCAGGAAGCCCAGCCGATAGCAGTAACATGAACAGCGGACTGAAGGATCGAGATGTCCTGAGGAGGAGGAAGAAGAAGAGGAAGAGCAAGAGGAGTTGGAGGGAATGGTAGTCTTGGAGAAGGAACCAGTTGTTGGTAACATACCAACCACTCTACCAAATATAAGGAAATGTATCTGTTGACCCTTGACTTTGGCAAATGACTCCAGATGTTGACATTGACACCAGAAATGGGGGAGAATTTGGTTCCAAGTCCTGTCCACCAAAGTGGGCTTTGAACTCCATCACATATGCTCTTGATGTGACACACCCAACATTTTGCAGATTTGTTTTAGCAGCCTAGTGATTTCTTCATCCACATATATATATATATATATATATATATATATATATATATATATATATATATATATAATACTTTTCACTACTGGGATGAATGCAAAGAGAAAAGACATATGAGATTTGTTAGAAAGACTGTAATTATAATGTATGTGACTTTAAGCAGTGTCACATTTGTATATAGTTGGATAATTAGGTATTAAAGTTATTATGACTCGGGCCTGATGGGCTAACTAGTCTATCAACTTCTTTTGATCTAAACCTCTGACCAAAATGCTTAAGCTGAAGTTGATAATAGTACACTCATCAGATCCTTATAAGTCAATCTTAATCGTGTCCACTTTCGATGTGGGACTAGTCAGAGTGTTACAAAAGTAGTATTTACATATTATCAAAAAAAAATAAAAAAAATAAAAGTAAGATGAATGCAGAAAATGACTTGTCATATTTATATTCCAAAGCCACATTAAAAATGAGCTCAAGAAATAGACAATCAAACCACCTTTAGAACCTTCTGATCAGCATGTGAATGTGTTAATGGATTGAAAAGGGCACCTCGTGATCCGAAGACCAGGTGATGCTGGTCTGGAACCATTGTATGTGTTTGCCTCTCCATCTCAACTCTGTATGGGATATTTCTGATGATGAAATTATACCTTGAAGATTAAATATAATTTTCCTTCTAGAACATGACATATGATTTCTCATCATTTTCTTGTTTTCTCAGTTTGGAGGGCTGTATCTGTCTGTGAACATCTTTTGCATTAAATTATGTCTCCAGCCATTCTGCTTTCAATTCAAGGTTTACATTTGTCTTTTTGCCTGAAGGAAATAAAATATGCATCTGCTCATGCCTACATATGCATATATAATGAGTTCAGATTTGTCTTCATGTTGGCAAAGCACCAGGAAGATTACTTAGCAGTTGCTTGTATTGCATATCGTCTGGAAATTTATTGATCTTAATTGCTCCAATGACATCAGTGATCAGCATGAGGTCCACCATGAATAATTATTCCAACACTTGTGTATTGAATGAAGCAACTTTCAAGAGCACTCTCTCTTCATTCATTGAAATGAGCATCATTAACTTCCATCAGAGAGTTAAATGTGTTTCCTCAGTCTCATCAGAGAGTTAACTTTGCTCACATTTAATCTGCATCAGATGTGATACGGTGGAGAAACAATGTCTATATCAATGGGTAGGTGCAGGGTTGAAACCTTAAAACAAAGCTACAGCCATCAGTGTTATAGGTCCCTTTTTGGCCATATTCCTGGAAACCTACAGCATGAAATTTCCACAGTTGATGTCACCAGAAATGGAGTTTACTTCAATAAATTCCAATGGCACTCTTTTATTTCCCCTCATTTTCACAGTAAAATCAAAAGAATCATATCACCTTCATGCTATTTTTTTTTCTCCCTTGTAACAGTGGAGCTGATGATCTCATGAGATACCTAAGAACAGTATTCCTTTTGCAAGTTTGGTGATGAAATGTGGTCTCTAATATGTGTGGTATTAAAAGTCAGAAAGGGGGAACAATCCGATTCCAAGGGATATGGTTTTTATTGTTCATGTGAGTTTTACGTTGAACAAGGTGATGATAAACAAAGAGAACAACCATGAAAGGTTGCTAAAGGCCAAGCAGAGCAGTTGAGAAGATTCTATTCCTTCATCCTAAAACCTGTTTGAGTTCAGAGTCAAGCAGCCCATTGGCACTTACAAGTCCAAACCATGGTTTCGAAGGATATAGAAGACAGAGATTTGAATAGTCTTCTGCATGCTGCTGCCTTCTTCTTCTTCTTCTTCTTCTTCTTCTTCTTCTTCTTCTTCAGGTTTACACTGCAGTTGACCAGCCCCCTGCCACCACACAGAAAGTTCATGCATCACCAGGAGAAGGAAAAGTATTTGCCAAAATCTTCATTAAAGAAGAAGAAAAGAGGTCCTCAGACCTTTTCATGAAGTCTTGAGATGAGGCACAGCAGTTAATCTTTATTGGAAATGTCAAACACATGCATCCAAGGACTTCATGTTACAACTGCACCAAGTATGAAACTGAGAGTGCCATTTTTGTACACCATCAGAGTGATGGTGTTCTTGCATCACCCATCCGACCAGGCTCCATGATCTATAGACTCTTCACACAATTATCTACCTCATAAGATTGCAGGAGTTCAATGCCTCATCATAAGAAAATTTTGAAGCCATCAGCATTACGAAATTACTACATCATCTTGTGATAAATTTCATTCATCTGATCATTATAGGCTTTGTGGCTTCTGACAACTATCTGAGATTTAGTTTTTACAATATAATTCATCATATGAATTATTAGTTTGTATAGAAATATGGAGTACCACTCACTATGAGAAGCTGGACTTTTATCTAGGAAAAAAAAAAGAATTATTTCATGGTATATAGTTAGAAAATACATTTTTTTGGGCTAAAAATTATGTTTACCAATTAAAAAAGGTCACTTAAAAAATAGTATATATATATAATATAAAAGTAATCCTTTTGAATAAATGTGAATTGTAAATGTTAACTCATAAAGCATTAATATTGATATTTGGATCAACTTGACTTTTAATTCCATGAAGAATTTCATATGAAAATCGATGTTTATTTTTCGAGTTAGTCCCTTTGACGGTTAAACTAGTAACACAAGGTAATTTTAGTAAACAATTACTGATCTTGATTATATAATTTTTTATATAAACCTATAGAGGGAATATTCGACGGTATGGGTGGAATATTCAATGTATTTAGAATATTCCTGACTAATGTCCACATGTTTTTTCATCGTTAATTATGTTGGCACATTTCACATTTATATTGTGGGTAAATATTTTTCCTACTAAGAAAGTGAAAGATATGATACTCATCTACCCATTGTGTCTCTTTCATCTCATGTATTCCTTATTAACAATTTAACATGAGAACAGGGAACCAATTCCTTTATTATGATTCAAATAATTTTATCCTCCCTTATCAAGAGTCTTACCATGAAAATGAGGGCTCAAATACTTGGCATTATTAAGACCTCGGTAACCACATAAAATGAATATTGTGATAGAGAAAATTACTTCAACTTTTAAATATTAATAAGTTAATATTAACTGCTAAATATATTAAGGTGGGCCGCATGTCGGCCCACCTTCCCTACTTGGGCGGCCCATAATAGGCCAGCCCACCTGTCATTTCCAGAAATGTCAAACAACACATCTCAGAATATTAGGATGATAGCAATGGCAATGTCATACAAGAAAAGTAATTTCCTGCTGCGTCTACGACACAATGGGATCGTTGGATTTGGTTGGGTCATCTCCCTTTACAAAGAGTGCTCATTGAGCAGTCCACATCGGCTGTCTTCTCACAAGAGGAAAGACTAATGGACTTTGGGGCTACTGTACTGTTCTATGGTCTCCCATGTTCGATTCAGTCCCACAAAGCTACGATGCATGCTTTGTATCTCAGTTGACATTGTCGCCACAGACAATGGAAGGGTGTAAGATTTGTCCTCCTCATCGCCGCAACGAAGTTGACTTTGGATCTCTCTAAAACTTTGACCAGGGTGTTGACTTTCTAAAACTTCCGTGCTTTCCGCTTCATTCCTCGCCGGTTTTCATGGCACATCAGCCATCTTTGCCACACCAATCTTCGTAGCATCCATCTTATCTTACGCTTCAACAAACAAACAAACAAATGGTAGAGGATGATTGGTGATCACAAGGGAAGTCATATTATTCAATTCTTGTAGTTGTGTGATGTTAAATAATAATGATCATTGTCAAAAATGATGAATGATATAAACTTGGAATATAGTTATGTATTTTTGTCAACGATGAACAAATGTAAAAATAATATTATGGTAATTTTTAAAATTTCTATGATTTTTTTTATTGTGGGTAGTGATCACTTTTTCATCATAACATTAATTTTACATTTCTTTTTTTTTGACAAAATTATACAGATTTTCTTATTTTATGATTTTTATGTGTATATATAATTATATATATATATATATATGTATTTAAAATCTAAAATTATCCTTCATTGATTTAATTGCCTTGGAGGCTAATCTCGTAATTCCGTCGTTTCTTTCCTCGTCCGTCCGGATCCGTTCGGTTGCGTTTCCGTTTCCCTTTTGCCACCCCGCTAAGTAATCGTTTCCCCCTCTGTCTCTCTCTGTCTCTCTCTCTCTCTCTCTCTCTCTCTCTCTCTGTTACCAGCGAAAGCGAACCATCCGAACCGAGACTAGGAGAGCCGAAGGCTTCCTTCCTTCTTTTTCTTCTCCTGTCTTCTTCTTCTTCTTCTTCCTCTTCCTGTTTCTTCCACGCTTTGTCCAGGGCTTTGGCCATTAATTCGTCCTATTCGGTTCCCGTCGTCTCTTCGCTGTCTCCTTTCTTTTATTTATAGTGGATCCTCCGGCCCCTACAGGAAAGGTGCCTCCTTGCTTCCCGAGTGGAGATCCGGGACCTCGATCCTGATCTCAAGTGTGGCTGAAGCCGCGAATCCTTACTTGGCTGTCGTTTCTCCTTCCCTAAAGGCGCCTCCTTTTTGGTTTAGGAGCTGGAGCACTGGCAATTTTGGTCCGGAATTAGTTTACCCGGGAGTTTGCTTCTTGGCGTAGTGTGGCGTTCTTGTGATCGTCTTGTGATTCCTGAGGTGGGGATTTGGGATTTTGATCGGTGATGCCGGTGCCGGCAGTCGCTCTTTCTGCGATCGCACCTGGCGGCGTTTGCTTCAGCTCTCGCTCGACGAGCCATGGTAGCTCGCTGGACTACGAGCAGAATGCCAGATTCTCC